ACAAAAATTGATAGAAGTACTATCATAGTCACGGAAATGCCTCAGCGCCCAATCCGCACTAGTGACGTCATGTCCAGCTATTGATCACGTCACCCGCAGTCCGAGCATATGGCGTTCAATAACAAGTATAGTTCATACTTTATACCTACTCGTACAATCCGCGAAAGCACCTGCTAACGAGGGCGGGCAAAGTTGCATATTTATCCGACATTTCACGGCATTTAGCAGTCGGATCGTGATATTTCACACTTCGGCCTGCTAGAGCAATCGGCGGGCACATCGCGGGTCGTGACTGCGCTCTTCCCATTGTTAGCTGCGATACACACGGGTGCGATGTTCGGTGGACTTGCTCGCAAACAAGCTTTGTAGTTTCAGGAGTCATTAAACAAATATTTTTTGTTAATTATAAGGTTTGGCCAAACCAACGCGTGCGTGATGACGATGGCGTTCCTACTAATTTCTTCAAGTCGACTTTTATTATCCTAAGTCAAATATATTTCGTTAAAAATTACTTATTTAAACACGGCGACTAACAACCGTTAAAGGTAACAAATAGCCGTTTATGTTGTCGTTTTGAACTCTTTATCGTGGCGGTACGCTTTTTTTTTAGATCAGTGCCAGTTTAAATCTCGAAATTTCGCCTTGCTTCTTTTAGCTGACCACTCAGAAAAAGGTAAAAACAAGAAGCTAAAAAACAAAGCTCGCTAACTAGCGTGACAGTACGTTCATTGTCACGAAACCAACCTTGAAGCAAAATAAAAACGCATCGCAAAAAGTTAAGGGCACCGAAAAAACATTATTAAAATTGATTAGCTTTTTTAGAATGCTAGAGATAAATAAATGGTGATAGCAGATGGCTATGAATCACTGGTGCGTCAATGAACTTTGTACAATGGTTTTTATGGTGTGGTTGTATGGTGTTACGATTACGAGGCTCGATTTGGCATGACGTAATTTGCTTTGATTGATCGAGATGAGAGTTCTTTTTTTGAACTACCGAATGTTTTTTTTTCTTTTGTTTTTCTAATGTCGCTCCAAATAAAGAAAAAGAGCCAGTACTTAGGTAGGCTGCGAATGCTACTAAATGATACTTATTTCAATGCAGAATATTTTAGGGACTGCAAAAAGCTCAGGGGTGGGAAACCACTGAATTATGAAACTAATTGCTTGCTGTCTGATTTTAACATTAAATTAATAACGTATTTGAACCCGTTAGACGTAACTCAACCCCAAGAAACACAAATCAGCGGTGATTAACATAATCACTGACCAATTGTTTTAATTTCCGTTACATATTTCATTGCCCATTTTATCATACTTAACCAATAATGTCGGTCACTGATTGCATAATCTCCGAAGAGTTCTTCCTGCTCGTTATAAAATTAAAAACACGTACAGTGAAATATAATAGTGTTGAAACGAGACCCTTATTAATATCGATATTATCGATAAACTATTTCTCGTTATTAACATCGTAATACTTGTAATTAGGACATTGTTAATTTATATTCAACAGGAACAGATCCTGTTAATTGGTTCGCTTAATTGCTTTGAATAAAGCTGTTACTGCAAGTGGGCTTAACTTTGATATGTTGCAATACTTCCTTCTTCTGGCCATAGCGTTTGATCTTTCGATAAACTAAAACCAAAATATATTTTCAACGTGCCTTATTACTTATGCGTATCGTATTACAGTAATCTGAGCGAAACAAATTGAAATTACGTACCAAAAGGTTAACCAATTAAGTCAATTAGCAATTAGCATTATGCGCAAACTAGTGCACCATAATAGGCTCAAAATTATAGGTTGGACGAAAATACACCGGTATCTATGGCCGTAAATCAAATATCAACGTGAAATTAATACAGTTCGTGATTTAGTTCCTCGTCGTTGTACCTGAGCAAAAACAAACAATTTGAATTTATTTGCTTATCTTATTGAGTGGGCTTATGGCGAATATGAGGTGCAAAACAACGATATAGTAGGCAATATAATATCGAACTTACAAACATGTAAACAGAGAGCGATGAGAGATTTACGGTCGATTAAATTTACGACCGCTGTCCGGAAGCAGTACCGTGAAATCGTAGTCGTATCGGTAGTAACTTACTACCTGTTTCGATAAAAAGCATATCGATAACATCCTACGCGCGATTGAGTGCATCTCTATTTCGTATATTTTGGTTTAATAATATTTTTATTGGAAAACTTTGACTTTACGTGGTATTAACGTGTTTAATACCTGTTTAAAGATAAAATAGGCAGGAAGAGATACTTAAGTATACAATTTTCATTTTTTAACTCAAACATTTAATTTTAAAGTACAGAAGTATACTCAGTTACTCACTGATCTAAATGCGCGTAAAGTACCATACCAAGCCTTAACATTACAAGATGTAAAGACCCAAGTTGGTAGAAACATAAATATGTAGAGTTTTGCTTTTAATTATTGTTCTGTAATTACTTGTACCACAATTACAATTCTAATAACAAAACAAAAAAAATGAGCATAATGTTTCAGTTACTTTCATGATTGCATGATGCCTAAAAAGTAGTGTTTGTTCTTTTAAATGAATTTGGCACAGACATTTGAGACCATGACTCTGAATTCAGCAAACACATTAAGTGATAATAATATTACACTACCGCTATCGTAATTGATACTTTTAATTGTTTTTGTATCACGTCTATTGTACACTTCATTGAACGAAATTCGATGCCTAACACGATAAAATTAAACTTGTTTTATTTTGCCAATAGAACTCATTTGTTTTTTAATTGTAGATCTTGTTAGATTCAATGTACGCGCTCTGTATATGCCAATCACACGTCAACCTTGACTATGGCTTAATTCTTATCTGTATCGGCTACTTCAAATAAATGCAGTATTTTGAACCGTCAATTAGTGAATGTCAAATGGGAATTAGTATGAAATGGTCTCAAATTACACACCAGAAGCAGTGTTACAATCGCGTATAGTTCCTATAGAACCTTCCGCATTGTAAGAGCACCTGGTTTCGCCTGCCAGTCATCCATCAATCAGTCAGGCTGCTTGTTATATCCAGGCACCGGATTAGCTGTAATAGGCAAGATAGCTAGCTCACTAACACCTATCTACGTGGGAATTTGAACTTTAACGTGTTTCGGTTGGTTCGATTTTCGTGGAAGCCTGTTGACAGATGGCATTGTAATTCTTGGTGGTGATAGAACAAATCACGAACCCACGTGACGACAGCAGTTGCGTTAGTCAAACGACTTCGGATCAGATGTGACTTGATGATGAAGATTTGAAATGCTTTAAGTATCTTAAAAGTCCGCAGCGTAAGACCACAGATTAATATAAGTAAGACGCCTACCTGCCTTTTAGACCGATAACCTCAGGAAGACGGTTCGCAGCAGTTGATGTTTTTTTTTTCATCAAGTTAGCTGCCAGTCTTCTTCCCGAGCTTACGTTCAGCATTGAAGCCATAAGCTGAAGTTTTAATGTAATGAAACCACTGTAATGTGTGACGTTCGGGAGACACAATAAAACAGTTAGATGTGCGCACTGTAGGTTTAATCGTCAGAATGAAGATTATCCTAAGCTTATATACTAGTGGTTTATGCCTAATATGGGGAAAGGATGCGTACACACTACACCTCCCCCCTTTTTTTTTTTGAGAAAAAACATTAGTTTTTTTTTATTTGATTAAAAAAATTATACAATACAATAATAATTTTGATTTTAAATTATAATTCAAACCAAATAAAATTTTGTAAATTCCAAATATGTATGTTTATAGACACAATACTAATATTTCATTAATATGATTGAAATTATATTGATAAAAAATACATTTTCAAATAGGCTCAATTCATTAAATTTTAAAATGCAAATGAATTAGATAAAATACTCTATAGATGTAATAAAAAGCTGTCTCAGTTGAACATTACGATTTTTAGAAATGATAAGATCTGAATTTTACATTGTTGGAATATAATGGTATACCTATTTAAAATATTGTTTTTATACATTATAATATTATGTTACTGTTTTGTTACATCAAGATTTTAACAGATTGCTAAATAATTTCATCACAATATCAGCCAATAAAAATTAAAAGCCTGCTGCTTTTGAACCTGAACTGAATTTCCAATAAAATAGTAAAATAATCAAGTTGAAATATAGGCAATTACAATTAAAACAATTATTGTAGAAACTGTATAAAGTATACAATATAAAAAAGTTAGAAGGTACATACATTATTGCAATACTACGTGATTTTATATAAATTGACACTTTATAAAATACACTATTTATAAATGTCATGTATGATAAAATTAATGTTACATAACAATAACATTTTTAATGGTTGAAAAAAATTATAACTTTTTCTAAATACACCTTGCCAAAAATTTTACATTGGTTATTTTAATAATAATAGAATAATGTCGTTATTAACTGATAAACCAAATCTTATATTAATAACACATTTATGTAATTTAAATCAAATTAATAATTAAATACAAATAAACATTGAAATTCACAGTAAAAATAAGAAATAATTTCACATGAACAATTAGGTTTTTATTCATTAACTGAACAGTCATTTCAATTTGTAATTTTGAATAACATAGTTACAATTTTTATTTTTATTTAATTAGGTTACACAAACCATCATTTTATTAAAAAGAATATTATTAATCACTATGCTTAACTAAATAAGACGAAGACGAATCATTTCATTTTTACAAAAGTTAGTAACAATGTAATTGGTACCTACTCAAAAATTTAAAGAATCATAAAATATATAATTTAAGAGTTTTATGACCCCATTTTTTTCAAGTAAATTGTAAAATAATCCCCATGTATAAGCTATAATTATTTTGTTGTAAAAATACTGTAGTACCTACTAAATTGATAAAAACATTTTAATTAGTTTAGTGTTTGATTTCATAGATATTAAAAAAAATAAATAAGGGAATGAAATGGCAGAAACATTCCTTTTTAAATTAATACTTATGATATTAGTTACTTCATATTCATATTGATTAGCATCACAGTTACTCATAAGATTTCACACTTAAAATCTTGCCTCAATAAGCCTTATCCTTATCAGATATCCGTTACATACTCATAGTTCATAATCATAAGTTTAGTCATAGTCATTGTCTTAATATAAGATCATTTTTAGCTCGGTCATTTTAACTCGTAGCTTATAAATAAGTCTTCATTAGGTACCTATTATGTATTATCATTTTGTCAATATTCATTAGNTACTCATAGTTCATAAGTCATAAGTTTATTCATAGTCATTGTCTTATAAGATAATTTTTAGCACGGTCATTTGACTCGTAGCTTATAAATAAGTCTTCATTAGGTACCTATTATGTATTATCATTTTGTCAATATTCGTTACACAATATTTTCACTGGGCCGGCCCCTTTATTTTTATAAACATTCATAATATTTGGTACAGTTTTTTATTTTATTTATAGTCGACTTTTAATTATATTTTATTAGACATTTACAGCCTTACTAATAAAAAAGTCCATATACAGTTGTTGATCAGCTGTAGAGTTATACCATGAATAAGGAGTAATTAACACTATGCACCCGCAATGCACTGGTCTTACTAATAAACGTTGCATACGAAGTGATTAACTAAACCCGCTTCGTTCAGAAATTAATAACCGGAAATGAAAGCTCACGTGTAGCTCAGTGACATTTTCGTACAAAAGTTTTAAAAGCGAGTCGAAAATTCGTTTCAGAACGTAATAAAAAAAAAAAGTCAATGTCTTCTGTGCATCAAAGATCAAAATCATCTGTGAAAGTCATCAAACAAACCGAAACAAACGAATCTTTCTTTTAGAAAAAGTGATTTTTTACTTTCACAGTGCTCAAATGGAATTTCAACAAAAGAAACGAAAACGTAATCCCAACTGGGAAGAAGTTGAAAAGGTAAGTGTGGTTTTAAACCGAGGTTTTATACTTACCAACCTGCTTTTATGTGTTTATCTCATCTCTACTATGTTTTATTAATCTAAGTCTACTATCTAATATTCTCGATTTTTACTACAGAAGTTATTAAGAGAAGTAATTGATGAAAAAGTACATATAATTGAAAATAAAAACACTGACACGAATACTAACAACAAAAAAAAAGTAGCATGGGAAGATATATTAAAATGGTAAAAGTTGTGTACCTACATGTATTGGTTTGTAGCAAATTGTAATGTAGTTAATTAGCAACTTAGCAGTAGATAGCAGATTGAAAATAGAAATAATTACCTAGTTGTAGATGATAAGTTGTAGTTAGCAAATGTCAAAAAATATGGTCAGCAGCACATCAAACTACATTTCTACTGAAAAAAATAGTTATTTTATAGGTATAGTTATTTTATTCTTAATAGGTATTTTATTCAAGCATTGCCAGTTGCAGTCACTACAATAATTGATGTGCTGTTCCATGTTTGCTGCCTTTATTAAAATTACTACTTAATGTTATCATAATATTAAATTATTTTTTAGCTTTAACGAATTAAACACCAAAGACCGCTGTTTGGTGGAACTAAAACAGCAATGGCGGGCGATGAAAGTTGAAGCAAAAAAAAAAAAAACATTTACAAGAAAGCTTTGAAGGCAACTGGTGGGGGTTGTAAACCTCCAAGTCCTCACCCAGACACCATAAAAATCATGGAAATGGTGCCGCTGGAGTTTGAAGAGGGTACAAATGAGTATGATTGCGATACCATAACTCAAGTAAGTAGTAGGTACTTTATTAAATTATTGCATTTTGGCAATAAAATTACATGATACAAATCATTAACCTCATTAAATACTGATGATAGCTATTTATTTTATCTTTTTACAGCTAGAAAATCATCCAGATCCCAACTTAGAAGATATTGTGGAAGAAATTAATGAGATTCCAATGGAGGATACACGATCTCCTTTAGTAAGTGTCTTAATTAAATATGAATCAATGTTTTATTTAAATTTTAATTTCAATTGAATCTAACTTTTTGTTTAATTTTTAGAAATCTACAAACTCAAACATACCTCCAACACCAAGAATAAAAAAATTGAAGGCAAAAGAGGTAGGTATTGTTTAAAAATCATGTATACCTCTTTATGGTTGCAATACTTGCAAAGTAGCTTTAAATCATTGTACTACCCTTTATTCTTGGAACTTCTGTAACATTGTGAAGTGAATTAATGAATAGTTAGGCAGGCCCCATCTTGCAACTAAACAAATGACCATTGACTGTAATAACTTTATTTATAATTTGATCTGACAATGTTATTATGGAATGATGTTTATAATATTTTTTTTTATTTTGCTTTCAGAAATCAAGACTTAATAGAGATATAGCATTAGTACAAATGTTACAAGAAGAGCATAATCTTAAAGTCAAAAACATGAGGGAAGCTCATGAATGGGCAGAAGAGGAGCATAAACTCAAAGTGAAAAAACTTAAATTAGAAAATATGCTTCTTGAAGTCCAACTTAACTCTACCATTTAGTGCATGCTAGTAATTTTTTAAAAGATTGTTACAATTTAATTATTGAAGTAAAAGTAAGAATAAAAAAAGAGGAGGGTAGTAAAGTTTTTTAAATAAAAAAAATTTATTCATAGATGATTGGTTTTATTTAAAAATATCTATTAATAAAATTTCTTCGGGCAGCCTGACCCTGAACATGTTCAGATGAACCTGCTTGTGGGATTGTCACTGGGTGCACTTGTCTGCTCGCTGGTAGCTCCAGGTCCTCTAATTCCTCGCCCATGTCTATGGCAATGTTATGCAGCACTGCCAATGCCACAGTATACAACTTGGCATTCTCCAAGTTGACCGTGAACGCTTCTTCAGCTTGTGACTGCGGGTTATTCACTGGAGTGAATAAAAAAGGAGTCAAGGCATATCCAGCATCTCCAATGAGCCGCCCACAAAATTCCCCCCTTTCGAATCTCTCCTTGATGGTGCTCTCATTAAATATTCTTGAGTCGTGTGTGCTACCCCTCCACCTTGCCACAATGTCCCTTATCTTCAATTTGGCATCGCATACCACTTGGATATTCAATGAGTAAAACCCTTTTCTATTAATGTAATATTGGCTGGATAGCCCACCAACTTTTTTTATTCGTACGTGTGTACAATCAATGGCACCTATTGCGTGCCGGAAACCACATATTTCACGGAATCCAGTTATAACTTCTTCTTGCTCACTCAGATTTCGGGGCATGTAAATAAAATCCTTAGCTCTTTTTGCCAATGCAAGGGCTACACGACGACATACGTTAGTGATAGATTGCTGACTCAAACCGTGAATGTCAGCAGCATCGTCTTGCACTTCTTGGCGTGCCCATGTCCGCAGAGCTGCTAACACCTGCAGCTCAGGTGATATACCACATCCTCTGCGGTCTTGTATGATGTCGTTTCGTATGAAATTCACTATTTTTAGTATGTATTCTTTGCTAAACCTATATTTATACTTGAATTCCGCATCGTCTAGTAAAAATGGATCAGCCCTTTTTTTATACATTTTGCCCTTTCGATTACTCTGATCTTCATCATCATCCCACATATCAATTATATTAAAATAGTGCATGTAATCCATCCTTTTGAAGATGTAATCGCAGCGGAGTAGGCTGGGCTGTCGACGGATGCGGTGAAACGACTTGGTGGACGAATTTGTAGTCGTTGTGAACAACGTTGATAATTAATGAAAATCGCAAAAAAATTGACATAAACATACGCAGCTAAATTGCAACCACAGATTAGATTGCAACGGAATCGGCCATCTTGTGATTTATCTCTGCTAAACAAGGTCGATAGAGTGATTAAGCCTAGTGTAAATTCTCATACAACCTAAAACACTGTTGTACAAGGCTTATGTCAAAAATATTTTTATTAGTAGTCTTCGATGTTTATCAGTAGTTCAACAACTGTGTAACTTTTTATTAGTAAGGCTGTTAGTCATTTGCTATGCATAGTCTTATAATTTATAGGGACATGTTTTAAGATCTTTATTTATTTATTTTGATCTCCAACTATTTTCACGGAGAGAAGCTCGTCTGCACCATGATCAAATGAAGGATCTGTACCCTACACTGTACCTTGTACCATTTATTTATCTTTATAAATTATTTATTATTTTACTAACGGGTCCTCTTTTAAGATTTTTATTAATCTCCAACCGTTTTCACAGAGAAATCTCGTTTACACCGTGATCAAAACTGAAGGATTCGACACCGTTTTATACCTCATACTTCTTTCATGTCTTTACATACTTCTATCATCTTTGTCACAATATAATTTCTCATTCATTATTCTATTCACTTCAAACTTGCTATCACACACTTTACTACTATCAAAATGAATCCTATAATATCAATGATGTTGTTTAACCTTGGGTGATCAGTCCAATGTCATAACAAAACATTTTAAGAAAAAATACAAATCATGGTAGCATGATGTGCCAGGAACTCTAAATAAATTCTAAAATAATAATCTTTACTTGCTTATGAACCAAATAGTATGAATTCATGGATAAAATTAATATTTATTTCCGACGCGTATCAAAATTCGCCATCTGTGTCCTGAAGAAAAAATTTTTTTCACCTACTTTTTTCAAAAAAAGTACCATACAATGGTATATATTTATAATCCTGATAAATGTAGCTTTCAGGATATATTTTTTTTATTAGATTATCTCCAGTGGTTTAAAAGTAAACGACGTTTATTTAAAAAAATACTTTTTGGTTTTTGTGAATTTTACTCCGTATTTCTATTTTTTTGTATGAAAAGGCAAAAAGTTTGTTCTAGAAATGAATTCGCCATCCTTTAATTATCCGAAAATGACACCACACTTGCCCTAATACCCATAGTTTTGAAGATATGGACCTTAAAGTGAAGCGCGGCAGAAGGAAACTTGCCCCCCCTCCCCCTGCTACCACAGGGGGGGCTCCCGATGTCTACCGACGGAAATCTACTCAGGAGCACCCAAAGAACAACTGGTGCAAAAATGAGCCTTCTATACCAAAGTGGAGGGGTTCTTGCACTAAATTCCCTACTAGAATTACAATCTCAATTCCTGGGGAATCGGTACCATGTGGCAACATCGGCCCAATCCGGCCCATCATGGCGGTTGTTTACTATTTTGTTTATTATGCAGTTAATTTCGTTTGAGATTGTTTACAAGAATAATCATTGTTTTATCACAAGAAATGATGCATAATTTTGTAGTGCGTGGTTGCGGTAGTACGTGGTGTCTTGGAAGTGACATAAGATTCCACGCGTAAGTGTTTATTTCGTGATTTCCGACATTGGATCATTGTAAACATTTTTCACATTTTTTACAGTAATTTCTTCTTAACGTTTTACCAGTATTTATACTTATCATTTTTAATGATACCTGTGTCAAGAAATAAAGATTTTACATTGAGTTTCATTGAATTTGAGCACATTTATATTTTTTGTTTATTTAGAAAGAGAGAGTCTGCCCACAGAGAGCGAAATAGTGATACATAGTTTGTGCTTCAAGTAGGTATTCGGAGTGTGGCCTCCATTTTATCTGTAGCTTCATGGGCGCGATGACAGTGGCCACAGGCGGGGATAGCATTGTCATTGTCATTGTCAGTTTTGAAATGTCAACTGTTAAGAACGAATTTCTCGTTTCGCTCGATACCACGAGCATTTTTTCTACGAGTTGCGTTGCGTCGACGTACACCATGTTCAAATATTCGACGATCTGCAAAATTTTCGGTAGGTCCTTTACAATCAATGAAAAATGTACATATTATAGTTTGGTTGCACCGTAATAGGTACATTAAATGATTAATTATATATTAATGTAAAATAAATTGTGTCGATGATATTAGTGGAGGGTAGAGCCTCTACCTACCGTTGATTGATATTTTGTCCAGTAGAACCAAGTTTATGCTTAATTTAATGGGATTTATTTATAATTATTGCTAAATAACAATATATTACATGTCTATTTGTTTATTAATAACTACACCGCAAATTATTGTTATTGTTTATCAATGTAGTAAAGTAGGTAGGTATGAAGTATGATCAATGTGATATGATGTCGGGTAGAACGTAGAGAAAACTTCTTACACCGGTTGTTGTATGTTACAGGCGGGTGAACAAAATTAAGAATATCCAGAAATTGCAGTTAATGGTAAGTCAAATATTTCTTTTTATTGTTTTTCAGTTCAAGAAGACTTAAGTAGGTAGGTACCTACCTGCCTTTTCACCATAAACTTTTATATTGAGATACAAGCTACTTAGTACGCGTGAACCCCGTTTTACCCCTTGAATTTTGCAAATCTCGCCGTAAAAACCAACCTTGGACTTCAACAAACATTAAAAAGAAAAAGAATTGGTAAAATTGGCTTTGTTAGGTTAAGCGCTTACAATCACATTTTGCGATTAATTTTTATAAGATTATTGTGCCTGAAAACTTAACTTCTAAATTTCTAATAGATACCCTGACCGATTAGCCAGGTGTAGTTTGAAGATTTAAGTTTTTTAAGTTTTAGCTCTCTTCAAAGTCTGTCTTGGAAAGAATCACCAAAGTTTCCTGTACAACTTTAATATATCTGTAGTCATGACCTGAAGTAATTATTATGTATAATTTTTTTATTTCTTAAGTTTTCAGTAGATTTATCAAAGAAACTTACTATGTAGATGCATACTAGATAAGTTGAGGCTTATTACACAGAGTTAGTTCAATTACTAATCTTATACAATTCTTCATAATGACTTACCTACCAATTAGGATGACTAGTAATTACTAAAAATAACTATTATCAACAAACCTTACTATTGCTTAATCAAATAATTTATAGTTTCTATTCTATTTTTGTTAATTATTGGATTCATGTGTTTCTTATATTCGTCCCTCAGGTTTTAACTTTTTTTTTGCTCTATGCTAACTGTGTGTCAGAGGAGTAGGTACCGAGAGCGGCCCTCCAATGAATGGGTCAGGTCAATCACTACCAACCCCCACCTGTGGAACTTTTTAAAGATGCTCCCTGCACCATGCACCGTGGCCTGGGTTACGAGTTGCCCGACAGGCCCGCTGAATTAATGACGACAGCTTGGGTTTCTGTACGCGCCGGTAAACTGATACTCCCCATGACTGGGGGCTTTCCCTATCTATACGCGACCCGGGGACGCGTCCGATGGCAGACCCGAAACTGCACACGGATTCCGAGTTTTAATTAGAGTGCCTTGTTTTATTTTAGAAAAAAGACTATTGCTGCATTCAGTTCACTGTGGCTAAACTATTTAATAATGACAGAAAAACAATTTAAAATAATGTATCTAACTAGCGGCCGCCCACGACTTATGTGTGGCTCCCGTTATACCCACTTAGGGGTGGAATTTTGTAAAATCCTTTCTTAGCGGATGTCTACACCCTATAAGGACCTACCTGCCTTTTAAGTTTAGGTGTCATAGTTATTAGTTTCAGTAAGTGATATTTCGCTTTTATAGACGTAACACCTTGATCCGCCCATCTTGTTATTGCAAAGGATATTATCCTACACTAGTGGCCGCCCACAACTTCGTACGCGTGGATACCGTTTTCCCCCTTTAGGGATGGAGCTTCGTAAAATCCTTTCTTAGCGGATGCCTACGTTATAACATCTATCTGCATGCCAAACAGCCCGATCCGTCCAGTGGTTTGAGTTAATGTATATTTAGATAATGTATACTTACGAGCAAAAGTATGGAATCACCCCCTTGTATTGTGTTCCGTGTGATTTTGAGAACTGAATGACGTACTATCTATGGTATCAATTTAAAGTAATACCTATTACCTTTAAAATTGTACCACTTTCATGTATCTCTAATATTAGTTATTTAGTTCATAAGGTCGCTTAAAACAAATAGGGCGATTCCATACTTTTGCTCACGTGTGTAGTTCTTTTCTTTTACTGTAGGTACCTACTTATTCCGACCTGAAAACAACCTATTTTTTATGAATTACGCCTACCCTTAATCTGACATAAAGCGTGAAATATACTACTTATTATAAAATAATAAACACTATCAAAGTAGGTACCTATTTGAGACAAGACATTAAATATAACGGATATACAATAAACGCAGTGGCTGTAATTTATAGTCTGATCCACACTCGTAAGGTTATCAATGAATACTTTTTATTGTAGTTTCGAACAATCTAGCTTTTTTAACTTTGTTATAAGGCATCTAAAAAACAGGTAGCCTTTTCAAAATTTGCATTTGCAAGGATTACAACTTCGATAAACACTGAGTCCTATGAAAGCTTTTACTTTTTGGCATAAATTCAAATGATATCGCGATGTAAAGTGCAAACAGCGCCATCTAGTTTGGTTTGGTTTCGGCGTTCTTTGTAGGTAGTGCGGGGGCGTTCCTGTTATAGGCCAGTAGAATTAGATTTTAAATCGGAATTAATTCCTACAAAAGATTTTATTGCTTTAATGGCTTCATTGGTTGCCCATTAAGATTCTCCTAGGTTTTCGACTTCGACGGAGTTGTGCTTGTGGCGGGGGGCCCCGAAAGGGGCGCTTTTTCGGTTTTCCGGTTATACCACGTAAAGGACTTACCCTATCGAAACCGTCAGGAAGACCACTTTTCTTTACGGGCAACTAATGAAGCCATTAAAGCACTAAAATCTTTAGTAGGAATTATTTCCGATTTAATCAATTTTTGTGTTTAATTCTACTGGCCTATTAGAAGCTATCCTGTTTTATTCTCTAATTGCTATCAAAATAGATGTTGTGTAGTTGGATCAGTTACGCGAAATGATATTTTTGCACTGAGATTAAATTTTTATAAAAGTATTTTGGATCGGGTCATAAGTGTCGATTAAAAATAAATAATTATTTAATATAATTCACAAATTTACTTAACTTTTAAGTACCTACTTAGTAAACGGTAATTTTAGTATTTTTTCATAATACCTTCTAGGCATCAATAGTTTAGATTGATAGAAAAAAGAAAATCGCTGGGGTAGAGAAATAACGAAAAAAATTACTAGTACCTACTAATTTATACATTCATTGAATAGTTGCTATTACGATTACACGAAGCTTTTGCGTAGCATGGTTATTGTGAAACTAATTAAATTATTACAGTCACTTAAATGTAACTGGATTTCGTAGTATTTCATATTTCATGAATGAAAATATAGTCCCGGGTAGGGTTGCCAGGTCCAAAATCACAAAAGCCGGACTTTGTGCTTCATTTGGCCGGACATTTTACCCTAAAAGCCGGACATGTGACGGGGGGGGGGGGGTGCAATTAGTTGTCAGTTCACGAGTGAGTACTATCATCATCGGTTACTATCCAACATCCTGATGCGTGCGCTTCATATGATTCTGTGGCTCGACTTTCGCCTGGCGCGGCAACCAAATAAAAAGCCTAATAAAAGCCGGACAGGCCGGACAAGGCAATATTTGGCCGGACAAGTCCCTAAAAAGCCGGACGCCTGGCAACCCTAGTCCCGGGTGTTTCGAATTGAAATATCAACCCGTATAAAATTAATATTGTTTGTCCACAAACTTGACACAGTAATCACAATAGTTAAATAAGCAGCGTTAATAATATAGTGAATTGGATAATAAACGTGTTTTAAACAATTGAACCAAAATGTACACGGTTTAATTGATAACTACTCGTGTGTTTGCAACAGGGATGTTATGGATATCCGTAACCGTAACCGAAACCTTTCCAAACGTTTCGGATAGTTACGGATAAAGGCTTAGTCTAAATCTTAGTATTTTAAAATATTTATTACTTGTCTGTCTATTTTGATAAATACCCGCCTGTTTTACCTTTATCATATGTAGGTACCGTCATAGTATAAAAAGTGGCTATGTGGATCGCGCAGCATCTTGCTATTTGAATTTTACATTTTTTAAATTGTAATATCCGTAACCGAAATTATCCGAAACTTTAGGATAATCCGAAATGATTTCATATCCGTAACCTTAACCGAAACCAGTATAATATTATTCTAATATCCGTTACCGTATTCATAACCGAAACTTCATATCCATAACATCCCTGGTTTGCAGTTTTAATTGCTGTTCGTTCCGTACTCCCGTCGCTCCAGTTACAAATGCCTTGCACTTTGCATGTGGCTAGGGAGCTTTCAAATTGCTTTCAACTTGACACTGCGCCGTCCGTCGGCCACTCGGGCTCAAATGGGACTTGAGTCTTGAGACCACAACGGATGATGACGGTCTCAAACGGATTCACGAACTTCAGGGATATTTTGTTGCATATTCATTAAGTTGTGTAAGTGTATGTTTATTATTGATTCGATTGAAATGCAACCAGGACACTTACTACGTTCATATAGTAGACAGATAAATTATTGTTTATTGTTTTCGAATGAGCTATCATTACTATTATCACTTTTATTAAAAGTGTGCTTAAGATAGGTAACTTAAAGGTCACGTTTAATACCTATCATGCGACGTAATTAAATGACATTATCTCTACTTTTTTATTGCACACAAAGTGCCCAGTAGGTACCTATTTATAAAATAATTAAGAAAAAAACCTGGTGTTTTTCCATATAAAAATGGTCCAAATTAATTACATCGAATTCCTCTTAGAATTTGGGCATAATTATACGCGTGACGCGTATTATTTTACGCGCGAGTTAGGTAAGTTTATCAATTTTAGAAAATGTGGGCGTAAAATAATACAAATTATGTCTTGTTTAGAAGTTGCGAAAGTTGCTTTTCCTAGGAAATTTATAAATTTGCGGTTCTTGTTATTTTTCGATGACATACCAACTCGAATTAGTTGAATGCTCTCCACGCCCATAAAAATCGTAGCATCGTAGCGTGTCTCAATGATGCTTCTCTCACAAAATAAAGGCATTCGCCAATGCTCTCCTTCTTTTCACAAGTAAAACTGTTTTCAATATTATCAGAAGTTTCAATTAGGTCACAGTAATATGATCAAATACAATTCCGCATCTACCATGATTCTAATAAGTTTTCTGAGCTCTATCGCCGATACTTCGCTGTAACTACGTAGTACGAATATTGCGTAGTACTGGTAGTAGTACGTAGTAACGTGATGTTTCCATTGGCGCTGGGATTACCAACTTTGTTGTGCTGGTGATTGCTGTGCCCTGTTACAAGTAATACTTTTAAGTCTTTTGTATAAACCCGC